TTTTTGAGACAGAGTCTCACTCTTTTGCCCAGGCTAGAGTGAGTGCCCTGGCGTCAGCCTAGCTCACAGCAACCTCAAACTCTTGGGCTCAAGCGATCCTCCTGCCTCAGCCTCCCGAGTAGCTGGGACTACAGGCATACGCCACCATGCCCGGCTAATTTTTCTATATATTTTTAGTTGTCCTATTAATTTCTTTCTATTTTTAGTAGAAGTGGGGTCTTGCTCTTGCTGAGGCTGGTTTCGAACTCCTGAGCTCAAACAATCCGCCCGCCTTGGCCTCCCAGAGAGCTAGGATTTCAGGCGTGAGCCACCGCGCCTGGCCTTGCAGAAGCTTTTTAATTTGATCAGGTCCCATCTATTTATTTTGGTCATTGCTATGATTGCCTTTGCGGTTGTCTTCATAAAGTCTTTGCCTAGGCCAATGTCTAGAAGAGTATTTCCAACATTTTCCTCTAGAATTCTAATAGTTTCACACCTTAAGTTTAAGTCTGTTACCCAGCGTGAGTTGATTTTTGTGAGAGGTAAAAGGTGTGGATTCTGATTCAGTCTTCTACATGTGGCTATCCAGTTTTCCCAGCACCATTTATTGAATAAGGATTCTTTTCCCCAGTATATATTTTTGTCTGCTTTGTCAAAGATTAGATGGCTATATGAGGATGGTTTTATATCTGGGTTCTCAGTTCTGTTCTACGGGTCGATGACTCCGTTCTTGTGCCAATACCAAGCTGATTTGTTTACTACAGCCTTGTAGTATGGTTTGAAGTCTGGTAAATTCATACCTCCCATTTTGTTTTTATTGCCTAGAATTGCTTTTGCTATACGGAGTCTTCTCTGGTTTCATACGAAGCATAAAATTAATTTTTCTATATCTGTGAAAAATAATACTGGTATTTTAATAGGGATTGCATTGAATCTGTAGATCACTTTGGGTAGTATAGACATTTTAACAATGTTGACTCTGCCGACCCACGAGCATGGTATGGTTTTCCATCTGTTTACGTCCTCTGCTATTTCCTTCCTCAATGTTTCATAATTCTCCCTGTAGAAGTCTTTTACCTCCTTAGTTAAATATATTCCTAGGTACTTTATTTTCTCTGTTGCTATTGTGAAGGGAATTGAGTCTTGATTTGGTTCTTGGTTTGACTGCTATTGGCGTATATGAATGCCTCTGATTTGTGTGTATTGATTTTGTATCCTGAGACTTTACTGAATTCATTTATCAATTCCAGGAGCCTCTTGGTTGAATCCATGGGGTTTTCTAGATATAATATCATATCATCAGCAAATAATGAGAGTTTGATCTCTTCTGCCCCCATTTGGATGCCTTTAATTCCACTCTCTTGCCTGATTGCCGTGGCCAGGACTTCCAGCACTATGTTGAATAGAAGTGGAGGTAGTGGGCAACCTCGTCTGGTTCCAGTTCTAAGTGGGAATGCTTTTAAGACTTGCAAATCACCTTCAGTATCTACTCACACTTTTTTCACAGCAGCTTGATAGGCTAATGGAGTTTATTTATGCTATTAACTGCACTTATTTGTTAATGACTGGAACTAGAAGTTGGGGCATTATGATCACCCTGAGTAATAGTTAGGATTAATTATGCAATAGATGCCTAGAGCATAACAGATTATTTTTGGGATATGAGGAATCAATAGATTAATTGAAAACCCAAGCCTAGACAGATCCTAAGACCAATTACATTGTGTAAATGAGATATTTATACCCTGGTTTTTCTCTGTGGGAATAACTATACTAGTGTATATATATATATACATATATATATATATATATATGTTAAAGTGAAGAACTAGTACCTGTAGTCATGGATTTAAAGTATATTCTTGATTTGTAGTTCTTAAACCTGGATATACAGTAGAATCACCTGTTCAACTTTTCAATAATTATGAGTGCTACCCCTGATGTTTTAATTCAAAATCTTTGGGCACAGGGCCTAAGAATTTGTATTTTTAATAAGCTCTAAGTGATATGTAGCCACTCTGGCATCAGTTTACAAAGTCTTTGTGGGAGAACTCCTTCATTATGGTATGTCATTTATTTCACATTTAATTTACTTATTTTATATGTAAGTATCACGCATATGGTAATACAATGTTATTCAGTTATACTAAAGTTATGATTTATCATTTAAAATTTAGGTCTATATTATCCTAAATTAAATGTTCTCTTATGTATGGTCACTGGCACCCTAACATATCTATTGAATTAGGTTTTGAATAGTATTAAAGTGGGGAAGAATTTGAGAAAAATATATGCACCAATATTTGAAGTACATCTACGCTTGAGAATTCCTGAGAGTGATTCTCCAGAAAATTCTGAAGAGAACTTTGATGAGCCTGACCAGTGCCCTGACAAATGTGTGGTATGTGAAGATGAAATGTCAAAATATGAAGACAACTATATCCAAAAAAACTCAAGTGAAGAATTGTTTCCAAAAGCCAAGAAACCAAAAAAAACTAATCACAGCCTTGAAGATATTCTTTCAGGTAAGACAAATGGGAACTATTAAGAATGAAGGGAAATACCTTAACAGCTGGAAAATAAAAAGTGAGATAAAATTTTAATAGTTTATATATTATCAATTTGTAGATTATTATTTTTATAAACTTTAAGGTAAACAGTGCTAAAAAAGATCATGAATTTACAGATCATTTGTAGTGCGTGTAAATAATAACACCATTATTCATCTTCATCTGAATACACATACAATTTCTTACCGAGGGATGCCTGAGGAGCACGTCATCAAGATGAGCAAGACCTGGGATGTTAGTTCTCAGCTGTCCTTAGCCAGAATGTGAAGATGGGATGTGTTGCTTGAATACTACCTTCAAATTACCTCTTTAGTTTATTCTTAGGGTGTTTGGAAAGCACTGACATATATCAACTTGTCATTTATCTGATATAAATATCAATCAATTTTTTATTCTCTTCTCTTTCAATGAATTCTAATGGACACAGAAATTGCAACTGAGTTTGACAGTAAATACATGTATGATGAGTAAGTATTAGACATTTAAAAATTATAAATAATTGTATTTTATATGTCAGTTACTATATTCTTCTGAAATATGCTTTTATTGTTTTCTCTCTTAGATTTTCAGAATTCCCTACAAATCTCTTCATAGAACCCAACAGATTAGAGTTTTCAATAAAAATTCAAAATATGGTGACTAATATTGAAAAATGTATAAGTAAGTATTTTCAAAGCTTAATGAGATGCATTGTCTTCTTTGGCAATATTTTCTTAAATTTAGGCATCTGATGCTTTTATCCAGGGATGTGACAGGTATTATGGAATATCAAAAGATCGTAAATTCACAGTCCTTGTGATCAAGCAATGTGAATTTGGAATTATTTGACAATGTATGCATTAAACATATACCCTTAGAGTGCATAGAAGATGAGAATTAGGAAAATAGCCTAAGGCTTGGATTTTTTTCAGTTATGCACTATAGAATTTTATGACACTTAAAACAAATGAGCAATTTTCTTTTATGTCATAGTATAACAAAGATATCAGTTCCACCTGAAGTAGATTTTAAATAATTAGTTTCCAGCTATGTATGCATAATCTGAAATTACAGTCAACTTACTAGTAGCCTGACCAAACAATTTATACTTTTCTTACAATAAGTTTTACAAAGATCTTAAAACATTAGGACCCTTGGCAGCTCCTTAAATGTTGTATTGCTCTCCAGTCATATCACCAGTTTGCTGAGTTTAGAGGGCCCTCTTTCAAGCCTAAGGTGGTATCCAATGCATTATTAGATTTATTCTTTCAAGCCCCAAGAATTCAATCTTTTTCACTATGCTTTGTAATTACCACCTCCTATTAAGTTTCTTCTTTCCCCCAAACTGGCTGAAATACAATCAGCATGTCCCTTGAAATCTCATATTTATTTTAAAGTTTGCATTGTATTATTAAGGTTAAACATGCATAAAGACATAGGTTTGTTTTTAAATTAAGGAATACCACAAAGGTTTTATAATTCTTGCCCTAGTTCATTTTGGATCATCTAGGTAGGGATTTCTTGCTGAGTAAGATCCAGAGATATTAATATCATGCAACATTATATACTTAGAGACATTGTAGAAAGCAAGAGACATTGGTCTCTTGTTAGGATGACCACACACACACACACACACACACACACACACACACACACACACACACCTATTTTCCTCAGTAGTCCATAGATTTGTTCCACTGCCTTCTAGCTTTTAATATTACAGATGAGAAGTCTGATGCCTTCCTTTGTAAACTTATTTCTGTCCAGTAATTTATCATTTAAAGTTAGGAACTTTACTACAATAAAGCTATATATGTATCATTCTGTACTAATCTTTCTTAAAAATCAGTGAGGCTTTTCAGTTTGAATGACTAAGTCTTTTAGTAGTCTTTCAGCAGTCTTTCCATACGTTCCTTTTTTCCCTTTGGATTTTTTTTTTATCTTTAGATTTCCTGGGTCTGAACATCTGATCATTTCCATTTCTTTTTTTCTTCATTGTAAAATGTTTCTACTATATGATTTTTAGAAAATGTCTATTATGAGATAATCTGAGACTTAGGTAAGAGTTGCAAACATAGTACAGAGTTCCTGCATACTGTTGACATGCTTTGTCTAACCATATAGTTATTAAAACTAAGAAATTAATATTAGTACAGTAGTATTAAGGAAATGACAGATTTTATTTGGATTTTCCCAATTGTTTCACTAATGTCTATTTTCTGTTCCAGGATTCAATCCAAAATCACACATTGCATTTAGTTGTCATGTCTCTTAAGTTTTTTCCAATCTATGCAAGTTACTCAGTCTTTCCTTGTTTTTCATGACCTTGAGATGTTTGACAAGTACCAATCAGTTACTCTTCAGACTGTTCATCAATTTTGGATTGTCTGATGTTGTCTCATGATGAATTTGAGTTTATGCATTTTGGGGAAGAATATCACACTGGTTGCATGCCTTTTCAGTGCATCATACCAGGTAGTACATGATATTGATTTATCTTTTTACTGTTTATGCTCACCATGACCACTTGGTTAAGTTTGTGTCTGCCAGGTTTCTCCATTATGAAGTTACTATACTTCCTCTTGTAATTAATAAATATTTTCTGTGGGGGAGAGATTTTTGAGATCATACAAATATCTTGTTTCTCCTAAAAGATTTTCTCCATGAATCTTAACATTCATCAACTGCCTGTAGCAGTTGTTACATGGCGTTCTAATGGTGATTTTCTATTTCTCTCA